GAGCAGAAGATCCTGGTTTTCCACAGCAGAAAATCCTGAATTTCCATGGCAAAAGGTAGAAAATCCTGGTTTTCCACAGCAGAAAATCCTGGTTTTCTACAGCAGAAAATCCTGGTTTTCCATGGCAGAAGGCAGAAAATTCTGGTTCTCTGCGGCAGAAAATCCTGGTTTTATACGGCAGAAAATCCTGGTTTTCCACAGCAGAAAATCCTGGTTTTCCATGACAGAAAATCCCAGTTTTCCACAGCTTTTCCATGGCAGAAAATCCTGATTTTTCCATGGTAGAAAATTGAGGTTTTCCACACTAGAAAATCCTGGTTTTCCACACAGAAAATCCTGGTTTTCCACAGCAGAAAATCCTTCTTTTCCATGGCAGAAAATCCTGCCCATGCTCTCAAATCCCAGCAGCAATCCCAGAATTTCCCAAATTTCCAGTTTTTCCCTGGAATTTCCCCTTTCCAAGCCCAGCCCCAGCACTCACCAGCTCAGCGTATTTCTTGCACAGCGCTGCCAATTTTTCCTCTGAGGTGCTCAGGGTGTTCAGGGTCTGCATCAGCAAAGTGATTTCTTTGCCTGGAAGGAGGAATGGAACAGGAATAAANAATAAAATCCTCAGGCTAAAGCAGCAAACCCCTCACCTAAACCCTTGGCTTTCTTCTTCTCCTGAGCTTTTTTGTGATCCCTGTCCCCYCCCTCCTCTCCGGGCCGGAATTCCTCTCCTCCTTTGTTGTTGTTCTCCTTCTCCCCGTTGATCTCGGGGCCTCCTGGGTCCTGTTCCCCGTTCCTGGGGGATTCACTGCGCCCCTTTTCGGGCTCCTCGGGGTTTTCCTGGCTGCCATCCACACAGTAAGTGTTTAAAATATCCTCCAGCTGCCGGCTCAGCTCCTCGGAAACGTCGCGGACGGGACGGGATTTGGGATCTTCCTGGGTGATGGGAGCTGGGGAAATAAAAAAAGAATTGAAAAACAAAAAAAAATTTAAAAAAAAATTTAAAATAATAAAAAAAATTAAAAAAACAAACCAAAAAACTAAAAAAACCAAAAAAAAATTAAAAAAAATTAAAAAAAATTAAAATCCACCAAAAAAACCCCCAAAAAGCAAAAACCAAAAATTGCCCACAGGGAAAAAATGGGAGAAAAACCAGGATTTTCTGCCTCTAAAAACCAGGATCTTCTGCCCTTCAAAACCAGCATTTTTGGTGTGGAAAACCACGATTTTCCTGCCTGAAAAATCAGGATCTTCTAGGATGAAAATCAGGATTTTCTGGCCTGAAAAATCAGGATTTCTTGCCACGGAAAAGCAGAATTTTCTGGCCCAAAAAATCAGGATTTTCTGCCCTGAAAAAATCAGGATTTCTTACTATGGAAAAGCAAGATTTTCTGCTGTGGAATACCAGGATTTTTTGCCCTGAAAAAACAGGATTTTCTGCCCCAACAAAGAGCTGTTTTTGTGCAAAAAAAGCATTGCCCTGGCTTTTTCCAGGCTCAAACCCACACTCACACATTCCAGGGAATGCCAGCACAGCCCACAGGGAAAAAAAATGGGAAAAAAACCAGGATTTTCTGCCTTTAAAACCAGAATGTTCCACCCTTGAAAACCAGCATTTTCTGCCTCGAGAAATTAGGATTTTCTGCTGTGGAAAACCAGGATTTTCCAGCCTGAAAAATCAGGATGTTCTAGGCTGAAAATCAGGATTTT